TTCAAGAAGATGCTACGATTTCTCGACCCTGAGTCCGTGCTGGGAACACTACAGGGATCTTCCAGTGGATCTCTAAGGTATACCAGAATTTCCTGCTGGAGGGCATCGAAGAGTTGAAAGCAGTTTTCCAATGCTTCTATTAATACTCATCATCCAGCTCTCATTGCGTTTCGACTACTCTTCACAGAATGTGAGACGAGACACGGACACCCAGGCGTCCCCGTATGGGAGGAGCCGGTGGCAACACCTGCTGCGCCTGGCCAGGACGATCCAGGCGCTGCCACTCAGGATGCTCCAATCGAGATAACACGGGACCCAGGCAGTGTTGCCTCGGCCGCGCCAGATCAAGAAACGATGGTACAGGTCCTAGCCGAACAGCAGAACATTGACCGTACTGAGGGCGACAACGAGACTACCCTGCAGGCCGAGGCCACACGCATTCGTGCGGACTTGGCCAGAACTTGCGGTCACATTGACATCGCGGACATCGGATCCACTGAGTGCACTGGACTGCCGGGAGATCGGTTATCGCTGACCGAGATCGAGGGAATCGGACGATCGGTCGCTTCCCGAGCCAATGCCGAGCTCAATCGTGAGGCAATGAACCAGCTAGGTCATTCCCTTGCTTCAGGAGCCGGTGGCATCACCCGCTGGGGCACCCTTAGGGATCTGGCTTTGTCCGGGGTCCCTGAGGATCTCCAGCGTGATATCCCTCGACGCCAGAACTGCAGTCGTTTCCTGTCTGCGGGAGTTGTTACCGGCGACGGCGCTCTATGTGACATTTGTTGGCAACGCAGCACTTCTGTAGGTGCCGCAGGCAAGGGCGGAGCTGAGGCCACCGACCTGGCGTACCTGCAGGAGCTCAACCAGTGGACCAGGAACAACCTGTCCCACAAAGACGTCGACCGCCGCATCTCCGACGGGGCGAGATTCTTCTTCATGGGGCGGCGTTCGGAAATCGGTGAGCAGCGTAACAGATTGAGAGAGATGGCGAAAAAGGCAGAAATGATGTACAACAAGTGGTGCGAAGCGGGTTCCCCACCTGTAAGTGCGCGCAGGCTGATGGGCGAACCCGACGACGACCGCCCATTGTACCATCCTTTCCGCAACGTCATCCAGCGTTTCTTCAACGATTCCCGATTCCACCGCCAATTGACCGGATCCCGCGAGGCCATCGGTCAAGCGCCTTGGACCGTAGAAGACATGCGGACGGCCTGCGGCATTCACTCCCGCAGCCAAGCGCTAGGCTTCGCTGGTCGCAAGAATTGGTGGTTGAATGAGGGTGGGATGGGCAGAGGCACCAGGCAGGAGCGCGGCCTTGTCACGATTGCCGTTCCCCGCGGGGGCGGCGCTCATGACAAAGCCACGCGGCGTTACCTGGCCAGAATCGCCTCTGTTGGACCTGCCCTGGGATCGACTGACAAAGGGGGAAAGGGTTCAGGGGGTAGAACCGATCCTGACACCACTCCCACACATACACCGACTACACATGGCGCCATGGCGCCGCCGCCTCGCGCTGCCCGAGGCGACGCTGCTGGAAGCCGCGCCTCTGGCGCGCTGGCAGCGACGCCTGCTGGGCGGAGCGGCGCAGCCGCCGACCCGCAGCCGAGCGGCTGGCAGCCAGCCGATGCCAGCGCTGGCAGCCGCAGACCAGTGACGCCCCCGCGCGCCAAGCGGGCGCGCACAGCCGCTGATTACGCGACGCGGTGGCGCCAGCGCCTCGAGGGCAGCCAGTGGGGCCCAAGGCATTGGAGCTACTACAGCGAGCGCTGGATGCACATCGCGGAGAACCACGACGAGTTCGTCTACATCCGCGACCTGCAGCACAATCAGCGTTTCCGCAACTGGACCCCAAGGACGCCTTGGGCAACGCACGTGACCAGTTTCATTGGAATCGATGGCCATCGCGTTTGGGCCAACGAGTTCTACATGAGAGGCAATGCCTAGTAATGTCGGCCGCAAGGCCCACTGCTCGAGCGCGCTTGAACTTTATCTTTGAAAAGTTCGCCTCGAGCAGCGAGTGCACACACAAATTATGGCCACTTCATTACATATAACAAGTTGCCTCTTATATACATCTGGGTGAAATCCGAGGTGCGCTCCCTAGGAGCGTTGCCGAGGGGAGTACCCCAATGCAGAATTTGTTTATGTAACTTTTCGTGTTTGGCAACACGACGCTGATTTTATTTTGATTGTTTGACTCCTCCGTGCGCTAGCTTGCGTATTGATGACGAGGAGGCATTGATAACGATCTGATGCCCAGCTTTAGTTTGATTGCCGGTGGCAACACCTGCTGCGTCTTCGACGCAGCAGCTTTTGATGTCGTTCTAGATTGCTCAGATCCTCTTGCTCCGCCCACCCGTGCCCCATTCTTCTCCACCCTCGAGTGCCGAGGCGTTTGGGGGGGCGCGCCGAGGGGGCACCAAAGCGTGCTCGGAGAAGAAAGAGGGGCCCTGGGTGCTCCGTCGTCCTCACCCCGCCCGATCACGCCAGCGGTCGCGCCACATGTTTTTGCACGCTGCTGTTGTGTTCGGGGCGCAGCTGAGGCGACGCAGAGTTTTCCGCCCTGCTGCTTGCGAGCCTTAAGGAGTAAAAGGGTGACGGGTTCCTTCCTCCTTTTCCCGAGTCCTGCCCTTGCGGGCGGGATTCGGGGCGGGGTGTGCGAAATGAACCCGTATGATACCCTCATATAGACTCCTCACTCTCCTCTGTCCTGGCCGTTTGGGCGCAGGTATTGGCATTGATCAGACTGTTGATCGCACAGGAGGAAAAGATCCCCATCTTTCCCTCCTTTCCTCTACCTACGGATCAGGGGTTCTGTACCTTTGTAGTCCAACCCCGCACACAGCAAGGAGCCTTGAGGCGTTACATCGGCGGGGCAGTCGATTCGCATCAATTCCACTCGGCCTGTCCGCGACCTAGTATGGCGGCGCCGGCGCCCAACGGGGAGAGGGGGGCAGAGAGGGGGGATGGGGGGTGAGGGACGGGAAAGGGAGAGGTGGCAACGTGTCTTCTCTATACCACGCTGCTTGCGGACATCCCGGCCGGCGTGCCAGCGCAGCCAGCGCGGCAAGGAGGAGGAGCATGAGGGGGAGGGGGAGGAGGATAAGGAGGAGGAACAGGAGGAGGAACAGTAGGAGGAGGAGGAGGAGGAGGAGGAGCATGAGGAGGAGGAGGAGGAGGAGGAGAAGGAGAAGGAGGAGGAGGAGGAGGAGGAGGAGGAGGAGGAAAAGAGGAGGAGGAGGAGCCAAGAAAGGTGAGAGAGAGAAATTATTCAGGCTCCGCGTATCCTCAACAGCCGCTGTGGTTTAGGCTCTCGCCCTGAACGGAGGCCTGGCATCATTTGACTGTTGACGCCGCGCGGCTGTCCGCTAGCGTTCGGTAAACAAGAACGTATCCTCAACAGCCAGTTCAGAAACGTTGTCCATTGGAGCTGACGGGAACATAAAAAAACACGAAGAGACACGCATATGGTGAAACATCGTGGGCAACCATGACGAACTGAGAGATCTTTGGGCGCAAGGGGTAGACTTGGAGGGCCTCGGTGGGCCATCCCTGGGGCCCGCAGAGGGGGCGAGGGGCGGAGGAGGAGGAGGAGGAGGAGGAGGAGGAGGCGACCTGCCTCTTGGGGCCCTCGTTGGACGCTCTGGGGGTCGTTTTGGGGCCGTGTTGGGGCCACTTTGGGGCCTTCTTGGGGCCCTTTTAGAGCTCTCTTGGGCCTGTCTGGTGGCTCTGCAAGGCTTCTTGGAGCTACCTTGTAGGGCGTCGATCAAAGGAGGGGGGGTCCTCGATTTGCGCCCCCCCCCCACTGGCCCGTCAAATTCGCTTCGTGGGGCGCTCATGGCCGCTCTTAGGCGCTCTTAAAGTCGCCTGGGGGGCTTCTTGGGTCCCTCTTGGGCCTCGCGGCCATCGCGGATGTTGGCCTCTTTGGGGGGTCCTGAGGGGGGGCTCCGAGAGCGATGGGAATCATCTTGTGACCCTCGTCGGGCCTCTTGGAGGCACGTTGAAAAATATCGTGAACCATCTTCGCCTATCTTGGTCCATTTTGGAGGCTGTGTTGGAGCATCGGATGCCTTATAGGAGCCATATCGGACCATTTTGGGCGCTCTGACACCTCGCCGCCCGCCCCAAAAAATCCTCAGGAAGGGAAGCTGGAGGGAACCTGTCCCCGAAGGCAAGAGGTTTGTTTCCTCCCGAAGATCCACGAACAAAAACCCGCTAGACCACCTTAGCCCAAAGAGCTGTTGTGGATTCTGATGTCACCGAGGAGTCCCTGAACGACCCTGATCCACAGTTCCATTATGTGTACACTTTGTTTGGTCCTGGGCATAGCTGTTGGTTCCAAGCACGCCTGTGAACCACCAGCAGCTCTCTACGCATGCCTATGAACCCTCGGCGTTTTCCTATGTACGTGTCGTTGTGCGTGTGTCTCCTAAGCCTGTGCACTTGGCATCGCTCGGACGTGTGCGTTTTTCCTCGGCGAGGGCCAAATCGAGGAGTATCTTGGCCCACCTTGCGACACAAACAACACGAAACCGAGACATACATTTTGAATGGACGTCCGAGCGATGGCAAGTTTCTATGCGGCCGACCAAGCTGTCGTCGGCCTCAACCGCCTGCTTCTTCGGGAAGCATTTTCGCACTTGGATATGTAACGAGGTCAAGCACGTCCGAATGATGTTATTCGATGGCCGATGATTCCCGCCGCAAATGGCGCACTTGCCGTCGCCGTGCCAGCTCAGCATCGACCTGCATGCGGGGGTGCATCTTAGGTAGGCACCTGGAGTAACAAGAGCATGTCTGGAATACATTGGCCGCCGTTGACATGCGTTTTCCAGCTGCTGATCTCACACCGCACGAGCCAGGCAGATGTTCGTCATCGTCGTCATCGTCGGCGTCGTCGCGATCGCCATCGTTTCGTAGACGGGTGTGCTCGCAAGCGCGCGCTTGAACAAAGAAATTTCTACGCGAAACCCCATGTGGGCAGAAGCAGCCCGCCGATGGCGTGCTACTTAAAGGCGGGCCTCGTGCTGGTGCTCAGCGGCGCGGCTGGCCGCCCTCTGGAGAAGGTAGGGGAGCGAACAATGACATAAACATCAGAGAGAGGGGTGCCCGAACGGGATCATTTCTTCCCTGGGCGTGCGTTGGCAATTCTGGAGGGTTCGCCTCCGGGATGGACACTGGGGATGGACACTGGGGATGGACACAGGGGATGAACACTGGGGATGGACACTGGGGATGAACACTGGTGATGGACACTGGGGATCGACACTGGGGTTGAACACTGGGGATGGACACTGGGGATGGCCAATGGGGATGGACACAGGGGATGGGCACCCCTCTTTCTCTTTTATCCGCATCTGCGGGGGACTACGTAGGTAAAGACTCGGAGGTCCGCGCGGATTTCTCGGATCTGCGCTGGACCCCCCTCCTTGGCGCGCGGAGCTCGCCAGGGGCGGCGCCGGAGGCGTCGCCAGGGGTCCAGCGCGGTTCCGAGAAATCCGCGCGGACCTCCGAGTTTTTATGCTTACGTCATTGTTCGTTCCCCAAGGACCACCACGTTCTACTGCGACGGGAGATTGGCTCGTCAGGCGTGGATGCGCGGGTCGGTCGGCCTTCCCCCAGGGGGCCTGCAGGGGTGGCATCGGGGCCGGCCAGGCAGGCGCCTCCTGGGCACCAGGCGAAGCATCAGCACCGGGAGGTGCGTGACCACCTGGGGCTTCTGTCGGGGCCTCCCCCAGGGGCCGGTTTGGCTGGCTCATGCCCCCCCCACCCTGTCTGATGGGCGTGCTTTCCACCACCACCAGAAGTTGGATGGGGGGAAGGAGGAGGAGGAGGAGGAGGAGGAGGAGGACGAAGAGGAGGAGGAGGACGAAGAGGAGGAGGAGGAGGAGGAGGACCCGCTCACCCTCCAATTTATGGTGGTGGTGGTGGTGGTGGTGGTGGTGGTGGTGGTGGTGGTGGTGGTGGTGGTGGTGGTGGTGGTGGTAGTGGAAAACAGGCCCATCACTGTCGGCGGCGCGCCGAGGGCGGAGGCGAGAGGGGGCAGCGGGCGTTCTCGGAGCATCTCAGAGCGCAGCGGGGCCCCTCGGCAGCCTTATCCGGCCTTCTGAGGAGCCGTCTCTGCCTCAGACAGCTCAGAAAGCTTCCCAGAAGGCCGGCGGAGGCCTTCCGCGCTGTCCGAGGAGAAGGCCCGCCCCTCCGTTCGCCGCCCCCCCCCTCTGGGCCTGCCGCCGGCCCTGGCCCCCAAGGGGCGACCGCCCATCTGCGAGGCGAGATCCTGCCAGCGCAGCCGCGTCCTGAGGACGAGGGCGGGTATGTGATCCTGCGTCACATCGCACGGCACAGCGCCAAGGCCACGGAGAGCGACGCGGGCGGCGCGCCGGTGGGCGCCGAAGACCGGCCAGTGCTTGCTGTCTTGCCGGCGGCGGAAGAGCAGGATGCCGAGGCCCGCGAGGGGCTCGCTGCTCGGAGGTGGTGGCCCACAGCCGCAGCCACGGCCCACGCAGCCGCAGCAGCGGCGAAGGCCGTGGCGGCGCCAAGCAAGGCCTACGCAGCCGCAGCGGCGAGGGCTGCGGCGGCGGCGAGAAGCGCCGCTGCAGCGGCGGCGAAGAACGCGACCCAGCCGGCAGCGCCAGCGGCAGCCAAGGAGAACGCAACGGAAGCGGGCAAGCCGAGCACGGCGAGGGGCGTGGCCGGGAGTGTGGGCGCGGCTGGCGCCGCAGCGGCTGGCGCTGCCGCTGCCGCCGCCAAGGCCGCCAAGGGGGTGGTGGGATCAGCATCTGACGCGATGGAGGCGGCAATTGCTTGGAAAAACAAGTATCTGATGACGTACGAAACACTGATGCGGAAAACCAAGTACTGGTCTCAATTCTTTGGGATGCAGGAGCGGGAGCAAAGGAGACTCCGAAAACTGGCAGAGGAGGAAGGGGCCAAGGCCAGGCTCGCCGCGGCGGCGGCCCAAAATGCTTCACGCGAAGCCAAGCGTCAAGCCGCGGCGGCCAAACATGCCTCACTTCAAGCCAAAGGAGCAGAGGCGGCTGCCAGGGAAGCAGAGGCGGCTGCCAGGAAGGACAGAGCTAGAGCGTTGAAGGCCGAAGCTTCTGCCAAGAGGGACGCCAGGAAGATCGCTAAGGACAAGATGCGGATCCAGGGCGAGGTCGAGTGCTCGAATGTTTTCCGTAACCAGACGCTGGAGGAGCCCAGAGTCGCCCACAGCGAACATCTGATATTGGACCACCCATTCACATGATTGGCATTAGCGGGCAATCAAAACAGGCGTTTTGGACGGGCCCTTTTCGCAAGGGCACCTTGCCTCCTTCGTTTAACTCGTTTTTGGCTTCTCCGGCCCAAGGGTACCCTTGCGGGCGGGCATCCTTGGTTCTCGCGCTGCAGATCTTCTCATGGCGGCCACGCAAGGATGGGCAATGATTAGGGTACCCAGTCCCAGATGTCGGTTCCACAGGCGGTGGATATGGATGTATCCCCGCCTCGCAACCGATACGGTTGTTTCGGTGGCAAATCATGGGAGCCGTGTGTACCCTGGTCATTCCGTATTTTGGATGCGTTAGCGTCGATTGGCGTTTGGTAGTCGATGAGGTGGCGACGATTTAGAGTCGACAAGCGTCGATTAGCGTCGATTTAGCGGAGGTTTCGCGTCGACTAGCGTCGATCAGCATGGGGTCGCAAGAGCCAACAAGATGGTTGGTATGGAAGGCCCCTATGATGAACTGCCGCAGATCGCTGGCGACGCCGGCAAAGGCGTTCATGGTTAAAGTCCGCGTGGTAGAACGACGTGGAAGCATTGAAGGGCATGGTAGCGCTACAGGACCCGACGGAATTCAACCTTGAACGATCGGGGCCGCGATCGGTTCAAAGTTGAACGATCGGCGCGGTGTCAAAAAGCCTTTGCGCGCGCCGACGCCGCACGAACCTGCCGTAGCGGTATCGGGTATCGGTATCGGTACTTTTGTGCCTCCCCACCTCCCCCATCCGACGCCGCCCGCCGCGCTCTCCCACCATCCAGGAGGGACAAAAGACACAGACACAATTAAGAGTCGATTCGCAGGAAAATATTGGAAAGTATTGGAAACGGGGGAAGACGAACAGCTAGAACAGATTGAGAAATGTAGGGGATCTTGGGATGTTTGTCTATTCATTTGTGTGTCCCTGGGCCCCTTTAACCATCTGCGGTTGTCCTCGGGGCCACCCTCTGCGACGACCCTGCCACTTGTCGCCCCAGGCCTCTTCGCGGCTGCGCGCCCAGGTCGGGGCCATGATATCTCCCCAGATGTCATGGCCCCTCGTATTTCAATACGTCCCTCGGCCCCCCCTGGGCCGCGCACATGCCTCGGGCCATGACTTGCGAGACCTCCTCTTGCACGCTCCCTTCTTGGACGCCCCCGACGAGGGGGCAAGCGAAGCAGAGCAAAAGCCCAGAAGCATGAGTTTTCTAAGCTCCGCGCGGCTTTCCTGGATATGTGCTGGTACCCCCCTGGCGGCGCCTCCAGCTCGAGCGCCGCCCCTGGCGCGCTCGACGCGCGCTGGGGAGGGGGCCCCACTGCAGACCCAAGCAATCAGCGTGGAGCTGCAGAAGTTCATGCTTCTGCAGCTTCTTCTTCCTCCACCTGGATCTGTGCTTTGTACCCAGGGGCGCGCTCCGCTCGCTGGGGAGGGGGCCCCACTGCAGACCCAAGCAATCAGCGCGGAGCTCCAAAAACGGGGGTGGACAGAACACCCACCCTGTCACGTCGATTAGCGAATTGTCCGTTGTCGGTTCTCGAGGAGCGCCGCGGCCGTTATTTTCCAGGCGTGCGCCCGCCAGGTATGGGCCCGAGGTCGTTTTCACTAAAGCACGCTTTACTAAAGGGGGTCCAGTCCATCCCCGATAAAAGGTAATTGCCTCTGCCGCTTATCCGTCTTCCTACCTCGTCTCGGGGAGGCGGCGGTCGGGGGGCAGGGCCTTCTCAGCAGGCTCTGGGAGGCCCCCCGGCCTTCTGAGAAGCTTTTTGGGCCTTCCCCGCCGGAGACAGGTTTTTTTGAATTCAACAGACGTTTTTTCATTCGAGAAACACTTGTTGAATCCCAAAGACGTATTTTTGTCTGGATAATAGTAATCATAATAATAGTACCAATAATAATAAGCATACTCATAACCATAATATTAATAAGAATCATCATCATCATCATCATCATCAGCATCATCATCATCATCATCATCATCATCATCATCATCATCATCATCATCATCATCATCATCACCACCATCATCATCATCATCATCATCATCATCAGCATGATTATAATATGAAATTGGAAAATAAATAAACATCCTCTTGGGAATTCAAAAGACGGCTTCTCGGAAGACCAGAGGGCTTCTGAGAAGCCCAGCGCCTTCTGGGAAGGCTTGAGCCCTCCTCTTGCTGCCGCCCCTGGCGCGCCGCCGACATTTGGCTTGCCTGAGGCCGGCGACAGGTGGAGGACGTGGCGGAGGGAGACGAGGAGGGGGAGACGGAGCGAGGGTGGAGGTAAGGACGCAGAGAACGCAGGAGGAGGAGGAAGAGGAGGAAGAGGAGGAGGAGGAGGAGAGGGAGGAGGAGAAGGAGGGGGAGGAGGAGGAGAAGGGGTATCCAGCTGCCTGCGGCAAACCCCGCTACCGCGCCTGTGCAACAGAGCAGGAGGAAGGAGACTCACTGCAGGAACAGCGGATTTCCGACGATGTGTCTGAACTGGGACGGGTCGTGAACTCGAGCTTTGCGTCGTCCGCGCGGTGGGGAGGAGGAGGAGGAGGAGGAGGAGGAGGAGGAGGAGGAGGAGGAGGAAGAGGAGGACCAGTGCAAACTCAAGACTCAGCATCAACGATATTGGAATCAACCCTTCATCGAAGCTCCCTTCTGCAAAGTTTTCAAAAGGAATGTGCGCGGCGCTAAGGCGATAGCCACATGGTGAAAACGACCCGCCCTCAATCCGTGAAGCTCTTGCAAATCCTGAACAAGGAATGTGCGCGGCGCTAAGACGAGAACCACATTCTGAAAAAGGCCCGCCCTCAATATGTTAGATATTTGAAATTTTGGTTTGAGCGAATGTGCGCGGAGGTGCGGCGAGAGCCACGTTTTGAAAACGACTCGCCCTTCATTTGTGAAACCGTTGCCAATCTTTAAGCTTCAGGGTCAAGGCGCGGGCTCAAGCCAGGCGCCCAGCGCGCGGCCCGCGGCCCAGCGGCGGCGGGCGCGCGCGTCGGCACCACGCCAGCGAGGGATCACCCTCGCCCGCGTGGCACAGGAGGCAGCGGCGGCGGCGAGCATCAGCCCGCCATCTCCTTGCGCTTGAACAAGCGCGAGAAGTCCTGGAGGGCCACCACGGGAGCATGGCGAAGAAGTCGTGGGGCTGGGACCGCCAGAACGCCTGGGACAACAGCCAGAAGCAATGGAACGACAGCCACGACTACACTAGCTGTGCTACGTGGGGGTGCAAGGGCTGGGTGCACGACGCCATCTGGAGGCCAGGCCTCCAGTGCAGACAGTGCAAGGCCACCTTCCGCAAGCCGCAGAGCATCAAGAAGGCAGAGTATGCATCGAGTGCTTCCCAGGACGGCAAGGGCCAGGCGAAAGCCCACCAGCGTGGCGGACAGGACGCCGAGAAGAAGGAGCTCTCAAAGGCCCTGGTCCTGATCGCGGAGAAGATCGGCACCATGAAGCTCGATGGCGGTGGACAGCTCGAGACGCAGATGAAGGGACTGGCCCAGCGGATAGCGACCGAGCCGCCACCCAAGCAGGAGTCCAGGCCCGAGAGGCTGGCGGAGGCGGCGGAGGCGCTACGGATCGCCAACAAGCGCTTCACCGCGGTGGCGGCCGAGGTCAAGAAGCAAAGGGCATGGTTTCGCGAGCTCGAGGACAAGATGAGCGACATGGCCGCCAGCGTCGTCGAGAAGGAAGCCACCCTGGAGGCCGTCCACGCGGAGGGCAAAGAGGCCAAGCCGCAGAGCTTCATGCAGCAGCTGATCAGCCAGACCCCAGAGGAGATGGCGCTAGAGGGCCTCATCGACCTGGAGAAGGAGATGGAGCTGGAGGACGCAAAGGTGGACGAGGCGGCACGCCAGGAGGTCGCCGAGGCCAAGAAAAAGGTGCTCGCCGACTTGAAGGAGGGCGCCAAGTCATACGCACACCAGCTGCAGGAGCACATCAGGAAGGCCAAGGAGGCGGCAGCACGCAACAAGGAGACCATCGAGCAGGACGCGAAGAAGAGGAAGGTCGAAGCTCGGCGGCAGGACGAGGCGGCATCAATGGGGGCAGCAGCGAGTTCTCCAGCCACGGCGCCAGCAGCACCCAATGAGGCAGCAGAGATGGCGGTAGAAGAAGACGAAGATGCTGACCTGGAGGAAGAGGTGCTCGCCAAGGCCAGGACCAAGCTCGCTGAAGCCAGCGGGCCTGCCGCTCGGTCAGAGTGACTAGCGCGACCTGACGCCCGCCCAACCAAGACCGACAAGGGCGTCAGGCAAATCTTCGTCGGCAACATCACGACGTGGGGCCCTACTGTGGAGTCGTGGCTTCGGGGCCAGCACCTGAGGATCGACGGCAACAAGCACAGTGGGCAGGGATTCGACACGTACCTGATCCAGGAGACTCATCTCCGCCACCACCAGTTGGAGGAGAAGGAGGCACTCCTGAACAAGTGGGGTCTGAAGGCGTGCTTTGCGGCATCCCAACCCTCCACCAAGTCCGAGGGGGGCTCGAGAGGAGGCGTTATGATCGCCGCGAGGTCGCACTTCAAGAGCTCGTTCTTTCGGGAGTTTGCGGCGTACGGCAGTGTTTCGGGGGCTACTGCTGGAAACCGTGGAATACAAGAACAAGCTGCAGGGGAAGATCTGGGTCTACTTCAGATGGAGGACTGCACCGCGATGACGTGGCACCTCAAGGGCTACTGCCTCGTGGTCATTTCCCTGTATCTGAGGTGCGACCACCCGCTGAAGGAGGGCGCCAATGCGAGGCGATTGGCGGAGGTGGCGAGGTTCACCAAGGCGCTGCGCACGCCATGGATTATCGCAGGGGGCTTCAACGTCAGCCCGACCAGGTTCGCGGCGGAGGGCTTCTGCGACTACCTGGGCGACGCGCGCATCTACACCATGCCAGGCAACACGCCGACCTGCTACAAGGCCGACGCGGAGCCATCTCTCATCGACCTTGTGCTAGCGAGCCCCGA